GTAGCGCCTGGCTAAAATTAAGCCACCGAAATTAGATCTTCATGCATGTATTAGGTTATAATTTTAGCCAGGGCGTAACTTTAGATATATAAAATGGCTACTTTTGATAAATCGCTACTTCAGATGCGACATATACATGATATTTGGAGCGTATATGCTCTCATATAAGCTTGGCAGAATGAGTTGCCTGTGAGAAAGTATGTGTGATTCAGAGTTATAACATCGATGTTATATTCTTAGCATAGACCTCATAATAAATAAGAATTGATTTAAGGGTTGCTCCAGTCCTTAGCTCAGAGAGCATAGAGGGTTTTCGTTCTGATTGGCCAATTTTCGTAGATTATTTCATACCGTGACATTGGAATTCATCCAATCAGAATCAAGAACTTTGAATTATCGATTATAATTTTTATATTGTAATTAAAATAGAGAAGTAGTAATAAAATTTTATTGCGGTTTGCATAATTTTACAATTAAGTGCCAAACTAACTTTATAATGTATTGATTTATACAATTTATACTTACCTTTCACTTAATGAACTTTCTTTAATATTTTGTGAAGGTTATTATACAAGATATTTAGAACCGAAGAAGCTCATTTTTTATTCATAGAGAAGTTAAATTATTTTTAAAAATCGGCAAAAGTGGTTATAATTTTTACATGAAAGCTGCTAAGAGAATAAATGTAATACTGATTTAAAGTAATGTGTTTAAATGTCAAAAGACTATTTATATAATTTTGTATGCTAAAAATTTGCAATGTATGATAAATTTATTGTAATATTTTTTTGCTGTTATATGTAATTATTTTATTTTGGGCTTTTATTTTTAATTATTTTCATTTTTCACACCCTTATATTTAAATTCTCCTTAATTTTTTCATGATTAAATAATTGTGATTGTGATTGCGATTGCAATCACAATCATTTAAACAAAAATTAATCATAGGGGTAATAATTCAAATTGTATTTATTATTGTTTTTTTTTTTATTATTATTATTAATAGAATTGTGAATGTTTTATAACAATGGCAATGAAAAAAAATTTTTTATTAAATAAAATTTTATTAATTATTTAAATTACAATGTGGCTTTAAAATTATTCATAGCATTACTATATAACTGATCTATAGTACTATTTAAAACTATATTATCAACTTCAACTGCACTGGTATTCATAATAGTTTCTGTTGCTTCAGAAATGTTCGAATTACCTTCGTCTATGACTATTGCTGCCATTCCAGTCAAGTTTACACTTTTATCAAAAGCCTTACAATTTCTCTCTATTCCACTTATAAGATAATCCTTGCAATACTTATACTGACTATCTAACCTAAACAGCAAACATTCGAAATGATAAGCATGTTCACAATTAAGTATAAATCCTACCTTATTCTTCCTTGTACAGTCCTCCAGATCACAGTATTTATTATTTTGTGAAGAATACATGATGTTCCAACCCATTGGCAATGCCTTGACATCAATACTATATCCGAGAGATGAAAATCTATATTTCAAGTTCATTGCAACTGATTGGCCTACATTGTTATAAACACTTGTAAAAAGATTTAGCAAAAATACTGCAGTTCATTTTTCAAGATACTCTAATTGCTTCACTGAATAAATGATGTTATAATTATTAGAAAAATTATTCACAAAAGTATTATTGTTATGCATTAGATTAATTATCTGTGCCTCTTGAATAATTTGATCTGCCATATTGGATGGTTGGACTCGACATCGAATTAAACTATGAAAATTTTCTACATAATAATTGTTAAATACATGGAGAGAATTAGCAAGTGTCTGAATAATAGGATGATTAATATTACTTCAATAAAACACATTGCTCAAAAAGGCTAGCGGAAGCTTGTTGTAATTTTTTCGCTAGTATTGATAAAAAATACACCAAATACAAAACATTGCTTCTCGATAAACTGATCAATTTCTACTGCAAAATATAACAGGATAGAAGTCTAGAACCAGTAGAACAAAATTATCCAGAAGATTGATTAGATATCTGGCTTCAGGATCTTTCAACTGCTCAAATTTCTGTAGAACAGTTAAACGAATTTGTGACCAGCCTTTAGATACTATTTCTAATAAAAGATTAATTTTGTAAGGTTTTGGCTTTTTAGCCAAAACCTTCTCACTTCCATAAATATCATAGAAAAGTTTGTCAAAAAAATCATAATTAAAAAGAAAAAAGATTCATGATTATTTAAGGATACATGTAGAGGCCCAATCATTGGTACAATATAAAGAACTTGCCATAGTACACTAGAAGAATCTCTAAGCTTAATCCTGTGCTTAACAGCATGTCATACATTAAGCTGCCCAGGATAATCCATAGGTGCTACCAAAATTTGATTCTCCAAATAAGTTCTTGCTTCACCTATATTCATTAGACTTTGGAGTGGTTCTACATAATCTTCTAGAAAATGAAAAGGCTCTACTTTTAACTTGACAAGCTTAGTATTATCCATGCTTCGATCTTCTCTGCGTTGTTCGATTCTTTTATTGTAACTGTGAACCAAGAGATGTTCAATTCGCTCTTCGTATGTCTCAGGCATAGATATTGAATCAACAAACATTGATCTTCGTACTGTATAACTGTGCCATAAATAAGGGAAAAAAAATAAGTATGCATTTTCAATAATTATATTTGCATCAATACCCCTTTCATTATGAATACTTCTATCTTCAATATTCAGAATTGACACTATATTTGGCAAGACCTTGAGTAATATGGTAATAAAGTGAAGGATATTATGTGTTAATGTTGAATTGCTATGATGGTATTCATGTATGTTGTGGAAATCATCTATATTAAGTACGATTAATTTTCCATCCTAATAGAAGGTTATGGTTATTTAATATTAAATTAATAAATTAAGATTTAACAGTTAATAAAGAAAAAAAAAATTTTTTACTTGCATTATTTGTTAAAAAATTTCCTACTGTCAACATTTGCGTTTTCGCATGTTGAGCTTTATGTCATGCAATTGTTTTACATCATACCATTAAGCCAACATCTGCTAAGGTTTCTATTGTTGATGCTGATGCCCCAGATACATCTAATAAATATCCAACCTCTGCTTTAACTTCATTAATAAATTTATTATTAAGATCTACTAAAAAATAACAAAAAGAAACTAGTTGTTTCTTATTTTTTTCAATAATCATGTTGCTCTTCACTTTTGGGTTAGTTCCAGCTACTAATTGATCGAAAAAACCTTTCAATAAAGGTTCATTTTCCTCAAGTATTTTCTTGAATTTGTTAAGATCGAGGACAGGTTTTTCATTATAGGCATGCTGTCTTGTATATAACACACCTGCCATTAACTTGATTTTCCTACTGAGAGGAACCAACTCTAAAAAGAAGAAAAAAAAACTTTTTTTATAAGTAATTAAAAATAAAAAACAGAAATAATAAAATAAAACAAATAATAAAACAGAAATAATAATAATAAAACAAATAATAAAACAGAAATAATAATAATAAAACAAATAATAAACAAATAATAAATAAAAGTTATTCATTTGCCTAATTTTGTTTCATCAAGCTCTATACATACTTCATGATATGTGGATTCCAGTTCCTGAAATTCAGATTGAGAGTAAATAACATCATCCCTTAATACATATGACCTATCTTGAAATTTTCTTATATCTTTTTTTGAAATTCTTTCTGGTAGCAGCAAATAGTCAGGCGAATTAACTTATTCTGGATCATCGTCGGTTTTGTATAAGCAATGACGACATATCATTGCCCCTTGTTGCAGCTTAAAGAAATTGAGTAACTGCTCTGGAACCTTAAGAAAAGCCTTCGTTTCTGTACCGGATCTTGCTGTAGAAGTATATACCTGATGTTTTGGATGTAAACATACATGGTTAGTTTTTGATCTTTTTGTATTTACAATCAATTTGTTATAATGTTTTCGGCACAAAGCCTTGCCGACCAAGTCCAAATGTTGACTGGAACTTGGTATGATCACCCGATCAGACACAACAGAGGCACCATACTGTTTGTCGTTACAAATAACCCCCTCCTGATCCTTTAAATCACAGTGCCGGGTCTTTCTTTTTCCTTTTTTTTCACTGGAGAGAGCTAGATCTTCATGATGGGAATTTTGTGCAGACATGCTTTCAAATAAACGGTTCTTAGCTAACTTCTGAATTATCTCGCTGTTTCTCGAATTATTTTGACTATATATAAGGCCAAAGGTATACTTTAAGATTTTTTTAGTCACAACTTTCTACAATTCGTTTTCGTAGTGTACAATTGGGTTAAAGTGGGCTAGGGTGCTGTTCTAATATGTAAAGATTATCAGTGTAACGTTCCGATCTTCAGCCAATCAGAACGCAAGCCCTCTATGCTAGCTCAGGGGGAATAATGCTCTCTGAAATTGTCTCTACCGTATTCTACCGTAAATTAGCACCACACCCTCTACCCCATTTTTTTAAATGCCAGATTAACGGACATCGCAATGAGATCTTTAGCCAAGTTATTTCAACTAATCTGGCATTTAAAAAAATGGGGTAGAGGGTGTGGTGCTTATTTACAGTAGAATACGGTAAATAAAGAATACATAAACTACATTCTTTTATATAATAAATGCATACTAATCATGTAAAATACGAATTCCTTAATTTGTCATCATGCACCGCATCTCTTTTGCGTCAACCAACGGGGTTAAACTCGGCATGGTTGTCAGAAGCTCCTCATTCAATAGTGACAACAGATACTTAAAATTTTATATTAAAAACTACCTTTAGTGATTTAACAAAAATGATACCTTACAAAATTTTATCACAAATCATATCTTATCCTAACCTTAAAGCATAATCTAATCTAACTTAATTTAATCTTAAATTTTTATTATAGCGTAATCTTAAATTTTTGTATTATAGTTTAATCTTAAAATTCGATTCACAAATCATACACGTGTTTTATACACTAAAGAAAATTAAGCAAATTTTCTTAATAAATTTTTTTTTTTATATTTTTCTTAACATTAGTTTACACGATTCAATTTCCTCAGATAAATGGATATCTGGACTAAATATTTTTGTCAATTCATCTGATACACTTTTTGTTGATTCATCATTAACAGGCATAATATCAATCTGTCTTTCATCCACATTAGCTGTATAGGTTGAATCATGTACTTCATTTATAGTGGAATTAAATGGATCATGTACACTATTTGTATTGATTATATTAGTTGGGTTATTTTGATTGTTAAGAATAATATCCTGTTTGGAATCACGTTTTGAATCGTTATTTTGATTATTTTCAGAAGAATTGGTCGGTGATAAAAGTTTAAGAGATATTATTCGAGAAGAAAATCTCGGAACCGAGAAAAGTTTAATCAATACCATATACTTTAACCATTCTAAAGGAGAAGGTTGTATAACTAAAGCATTATTATTGTTATTAACAGCTCTATTATTAGTAGTATTGCAGTTATTATTAATAGAATTGTTATTAACAACATCATTATTATTCAAAATATTGTTATTAGTAATATTATTGTTAATATCGACGTTGATAATATCGGCAATATCGTCACTAATAATATTTTTCTTAATGATATCAGACTTTTTGCAATTTATAGTCATACTGAATTCATTGCCAATTGCTTTGTTGTGAGATAGATGAGGATATTGCGACTCATAAGGGTTAACATTAGAGATCCACAAATTTAATTTAATATCCTGGAAGGCACGACTAACAGCAATGTCTTGAGAAAACACTAAAGCATTTAGTAACCCTAAGAAACAAGAAATTAGAAAAAAAAGACCAAAATAATCAAAAATTATAAAATAATATAGAATATATATATATATTTATATTTATAATGATATATACCTTGAAGTGATAAGCAAACATTGCAAAGTAATAATAGAGGATAAGATACCACTTTATGAGTATAAGCGTAGGTTTCAAGTAAAGAGTTAAAAAATTGAACAATTAATGGCACCAGAGGATACCACACAACCCTTCTAACAACCGAAAAAATCAAAGACTGATTAATTAAGGAGGGCTGGCAAGATTTCGTAGAATTTGGAACAGATTCCAAAACATCGTTTTCTGTCGCAGATTTAAGTTTTCTAATAACCATAGTAATAATTGTTGCACAATATAGGATAGACACATCCACCCAACCGAAAAAAGTAATCCATTGCCATATTATACTATGTTCTTCACCTGAATCTCGATACCAACAAGATCTGTAACAAAAATAAATATGAAAAATAAGTATGAAATAAAATATAAAATAAATATGAAATTAATATGTAATAAATATGAAATAAATAAACTTTTATGCATACAATTCGACATAGTCATAACCGTACATATTAGCAGAAATAGGAAGGAGAGAAAGTAATAGGGCCAATAAAAATGAAATTATAAAATAATATTTTTCAAAATTAAACCGAATACGATATTCGCTTACAAATATTATATGAAGATTCTAAGAATAAATTAAAAAAAAAAAAAAGACAAATGAAACATATATATTTATAGGATAAAAAACACAATACAATTATATATAATACGTACCAAAACTATGCAAACAATAAAGAATAGAGAAGTAAGACCAAAAAATACGGTTCCCCAAGTCTTACATAAAAAAGGAGTTAAGAATTTTTTGTTTTTTTTTTAAAAAAAAAGTTAAAGAAAAAGAAAGCTAATAGGTATCTTACCGCATATGCACACAAAAAATCAGAAGGATTATCCCAAACAAACCACATTAAAAGATGACAAGTATAACATAAATCGAAGAATAAAGCCGCAAAAGTTAAACGAAATGAAACCCGATCAGCAAGATTAGAATAATATATTTGTATAAAACCAAATATCATTAATAAGATAAAGCTAGAAATGAGAGAAATGATATTCAAAGGAATACATAATTGAGCTATAAAGATGAATTCATCTCTTTTTACTGGAATGACAAAAGCCATTATTTCTTTTAGAGTAATGTGTTAAAAGATTCGAAACTTATTGATTTAAAAAATGTATATATCAATATACATATATATACATCATTAAAAATGTAAGAAAGAAGGTGTAATATAAAATGCAAGCAATTGACAATATCAAATTTAATTAACGGATAATCTGCTCATTAAGTTATATATATGCATGTTGAGAGTCTGTTTGCTCAGATTAAACCAATAATCAAGATAATCAAATTCATTAATTAATCTATACAACTTTTCTTCGAATAAAATATTTCTCCATTTTCAAATTGCCTATATTTGGAAAACACAAAAATACATATCAAGATTAAGGTTATTTTAACGACTTACAGGTAAAACCGCCTCCCTTAACTTCCGTTTTTATATTTCTGGCGTTCACTGTTCCTGCTTCGTCGGGTTGACCCGTTTGAATTTACAAATTGATTGGCATGGCATTGGTACTACAATGATCTTAATTAATAGAATCATTGTGGCACATTACAATGCTGCATTATTTAGTTTTACATATCGGTATATAAACTGGCCTTTTTTTTGGACCTGGGTCAAAATCCCGATTATTGCAGGCTAACTTGTTGGGATTATGACCTTGTCAAGATTTTATTCGTCGGAATTTTGGTCCAACCCTCTTTTTTTGAACCTAAATTAAAAGACCGCAATATTTTCTACAATCAAAATCTATTGGACATTCTGAAAAAGAATGTTTTATTGTCTTTTTATAAAGATATATTTTAGAAAATAATAGCAAATTGTTATTTGTCATTACTTTAAATACAAATAATGATGGGATTAAAGGTAAAATATCAGACGTTGTGATCTATTAAACAAATCTGATTCTTAATAAATTATTAAGTGTGACAATTAAGTATCACCATTCTTGAATTCTATAATCCAATCATTGAATACAGATTAATAATTCTAGGTCGTTATTATTTGTCATTTGTCTAGATATTGAATATATTTTTCATCTTTCTTTTGTTTGATCTTTTATTTTTTGGAAAGATTAATTGATAATCACTGATCGTCAAGCAATATTAATGATGCAGTAGATTCGTCCTAATGAATTTTACGACAACCAGTTATGGTTGCAATTAGAGTTTGCCAAGAAAAAATGTATATTCTAAACATGGAACTTTCAAAGATCAGTTAAGTACAAGTAGTTTAGACGCCAATCAAAGCTTAAATACTTTTGATCGCATGTAGAGGTTAGACAAATTTACATAATAGGTTGTAAATACATCGTAATTTACATGCATAATTGTTTTTTATGTAAATTACGACCTAGTTATGACCGATTAAGCAAATATGTTTGCACTTTAATCGCATGCATTATACGTATAGATATTTTTTTTGAAAGCTTGTTATACAACCTATACAAAAATTCTATATTTGGAACATACATTTCCTTAACAACACTAATTCAAAATGTCGCCAATAGATAATGTAAATTCTAAATATAAAACTTTTTGTATAACAGACTGCAAGGCTTTGAAATCAGTCATAAGTGGTTTAGACGACAATCAAAGCTTAATGCTAAATTCCTTTGACCACATGACTATATATAAAGATATTTTTTTGAATGCTTTTTTATATAGCATATACATTTTCTTTCAACAACATTCCAATTCAAAACGTATTAGTGAATTTCCATTAATGCAAATATTTAGTTATCTAAAGCAGAAGTGATGTCCTAGACAATGCGCCTCAACATCGTAGCTGGTTGAATGGATTTTTATTTACTTACTATAACCTCGCATTTGGATACTTGCATGCTGAAATTAATTTATCAGACTGTATATTATATTTATAGGACAATAATATTGTACTCTGGTTACCGGTTAAAGTCATTCAAAAAAAGCCAAATCAGGATGCTTACCAAGTTGCCTGTCAATTTGATGTAATTGAGAATTGGTAGCAGCTAGTGAGCTTACGCTTTTAGGCACGCCAGGTTATCCTGATCTTGATATTGTCTCGTTGGACAAAACTAGAGATGGACATGTGCGCGGAAGTTTTAATATGGTCCCAACAATAAAATTATCTGGCCAGCATTACCACATCATCTGGCCTGCATTAATATAATATCTGGCCTGCATTAATATATTTAGCCAATTCCTAATTAGAATTTATTTATTTATTTATTTATTTATTTGCATACCGTTTCACATACATATATATTTGGTAAGAATTTATCTTTTTGCCATTAGTGGTAGTATCTTTTGCTTACGCACCAAAAATTTCTTTTTTATACTAAATAAATATACGTAGGAAAATTATAAATGGCGACCCGTCACCATGGCGGCCCTATATATAGCCGTAAAATAACGCCCATAAATATAAATAGAGATGGCCACGCGGGATCCGCGTGGGATGCGCGGTTTTTTTTGGATCCCGCCTGCATTAGCATATCATCTGGCCTGCATTAACATTAATGGGCCAATTTCTAAGACTGTAAAAATATATCGAACACTAAAAATTCATGTAGCTTAACGAAAAAATACAAACAAAAAATTTAAACGATAAGTAATAAATTAATCATTTTATTTATTCGAATAACTCAATAAACGTATAATTTATTATCGCAAGGTTTAAATCGGTGAAAAATGATTTTTTACATGAATTTTTAGTGCTCGATATATTTGTCACGTGATGTCCGAAACTTTTTTGGGTGGCTGTTTTACCCCGGTCTGCATTTCTACGTAGAACTTTTATTGATTATCATTCTATATACATATGCGTATACTTTTTTTTGCCGTTGGTAGTTCTTACTTACTATTCCTTGTTATAATAAATATAATCATTATAAGTCATCATTTAAATAACATTATTATAACATGGGTGCTAATAAACCGATTTGGCATCATTTTGAAATGTTAAATATATTTAAAATATTTCTTTTGACAAGAAATTATATTGATATTGATTATCTTTATATATATTTTTATAATCATGAAAAATTAAAAAGCTTTACTATATTCCGCGAATCCCGCACGGATTCCGCGCGGGTTATTTAAAACTGCGATTTGCCCATTACTACCCTTTAGTTACATTGGGGCTTTGATGCCACGATTTAATCTTACAAGCAATATGACCAATTAGAGTGTCGGGGTAATTCTATGATTAGCAATGAGCATTTCATACACATTTATATTGTTATGATTTTATTTTTCACCAGTGGCGCCTTACTATTGTTCTCAATGGAGCATCGCGTCGAGCCAAACCCCTGTAAGTTTGACCAATTAAAATTTATGATTAAATGTGTGTAAAATTAATCCAAGAAAACCGCAGTATAATCAGAGTTATGATTAGAGATGGAAAATCGAGGGGTTTTCGAATCTACTGCGCAGGCTGCGCAGCCTGCACGGGCCTGCATTACGGCTAATGCGGGCCAAAAATGCGACATTCCGAAGAATTCCGTGCTTCCGTAAATTTCCGCCTGCGCAGTGTCCCATCTCTAGTTATGATTTAAAAAATGTGATGTCTATTAGTAGAATTTCACGAGAAACGTTTTTAATTAGAACGCAGAATATGGTTTCCTAACAAAATTTCAGAACTATTCCTGTTTTTTAGTAAATTGTCACATGACCATAGTGATCATTTGGGCTGCCGTCAATAGAAATCAAGCAAATCTACATTTTAAAAAAAATTACTGCTTAACTTTCACAGCTTATATCTCGATGGATTTTTAAGCCACCTAATAATTTAATATACAAAAGGAAGCTTATGATCTAAGCTTCATTGAATATTAAACCATCAAGGTAGTTTTAAAATCCATTGAGATATGAATAGAGATGGGAAAATCGAGGTTTTTTTGAAACTACTGCGCAGGCTGCACAGCCTGCACAACCTACACAACCTCAGTCCCTAGAGACTTTTACTCATTAGGTTTCGCGTTTATATATATAAAACATCTACTTCATATG